GATAATGGCCTGTTGTGCTATCGCACGGATATTGAGGACAACCCTCGTATAGTTGTACCTCATGATGAGGAATTAAAGTATCGGATCCTCTATGAGGCACAGGATAATGCTTTAAGTGGTCATCTCGGTCGTGAGAAGACTTATAGCTCGGTGAACCAAAGTTATTGGTGGCCCAAACTTTATGAGTGGGTGTGCACCTATGTGCTTACGTGCGAAACGTGTCAACGGGTAAAACCCTCGGCACATGCGGCGGCGCCGCTGGCTAGTTTGCCAGTACCCACTGGTTGTTGGGAGTCCATGAGCATGGATTTTGTGTTTGGCCTTCCGAAAGATTCGGAAGGCAACACTGGTATTGTGGTCTTTGTTGACCGAATGAGCAAGATGGCTCACTTAGCGGCTGTGCCGGATAGCATCGATGCTGAAGGTACAGCAAAGCTGTTTATCGACCGTGTATTTCGCCAACGTGGCTTGCCTGTGTCAATTATCTCTGATAGAGACCCCCGCTTCACTGGGAAATTTTGGAAGTCTATCTTTAAGGTGCTTGGCACTTGGTTGGACATGTCCACAGCGGATCATCCGCAGACCGACGGTCAAACTGAGCGTGTTAACCGCGTCATCAACGACATTTTGCGCAGTATTTGCGCTGATACGCCTAGGCGTTGGAGCTCAATGCTCCCTGTTGTTGAGTTTGCGTTGAATAACGCTGTTCATGCCTCAACAGGCTTTACTCCGTTCTATATAAACGGTCTCACTCACCATCGCGTTCCGTTAACGCTATCACTACGTGAATCAGGGCTTGGTGGGGGAGAGGTTGCCGATCGGCTTGCTGATATCAGCCCTGCTACTGTTCAAAAACAGGTAAGCGAGTTTTTCGCAACGCGATTAAATGTCTTTAGACATGTGCGTGACGCAATGGCTGATAGCCAAGATACTCAAAAGCAACAGGCTGATGCCAAATGCAGAAATTGTATTGAACGTAATGAGGTCGGAGACCAAGTACTACTCAATGCTCTAAATCTACCTACAAATGTAATGTCGGCTGTCTTTGAGACTAAGTTGCGCCCACTCTTTATTGGACCGTTTACGGCCACGGCCAGGAAGGGACTTGCGTATACGCTAAAACTTTCGCGCAAATTGCGCACACATTTAGTGTTCTACGTAGGCTTACTTTAGCCGTACCGGGATCCTTCCCATGTGAACTTGGAGGCGCTTGCGCCGACGACAAGGGCACTGCCCCTGATTGCTGTAGGCGAATCAGCAAGTCCAACTGAGCCTCGCTCCGAGTTTGAGCTTGCTCCATCGCCTGAAGGCGGCTTTGCATCGCATCCAGCATGCACTGGGACTTACCCAAGGCCTCTTGAAGACCCTTCACTTCGAGAACCAATTTCTCGTGGGCCTCTACCGGTACAGCGGCCGCCACCGACTTTGCTCGATGAGCATGGGTGTCGTCAATTTTATGTCGAGAGACTACTGAAACGACGTCGTCGTCAGGGCCAATACCAGTATCTGGTAAAGTGGCGTGGGTACCCTGAGTCTGAAAACTCATGGGAATTTGAGGTACCCCTTCGGCAAGACTGCCCATATGCTTTGGAGGCTTTTGAGCATCGTGGCCATGGTCGTCTCGATGCCGAGGCCGTTCCCCACCACTAGTGGTGCGGGTTGGCGGGTTGTTGGCCACAGACTGACCAGCACTCGCGGCTACCTTAGTAGCCGAAGCATAGCGCGTGCGCTTGCGCAATTGGCCTCTGGCCTTAAGCTTGGCATAATCATACTGAAGCTTGCGTTCAAGACGCACGTCAGCCACACTGGCACTAGCCCTTAGAGCAAAAATGTTGCTGAGGCGACGCACATAGTGCACCCAGTGAACAAAGGCATCGGCTTCTTCGCTCACTGTTTCGCCTGCGAACAAGAGAATGGGTATACCCTTGATCGGTGGAACCGGTGTACCATGCGCTTGCATGTCAAGGCGTGCCTTGTATTGACTTTGAGTCGTTGGGTGCGGCTCCAGGTACCTCTCGCGAAGTGTTTGGCAGCTCACCACCTCCTCAGGAGTCTTAGGCCCATGGTTAATGACCCACGTTGCCAATGTTTGGCCGGCCGCTTGACGTAGACGTTCCTCCACACTGGGTGGGGTGAACACATAGTCACGCTGGCATTCAAGGGTCAAGCCATTTATACATGACGCTAAGCGTTTTCTCTTCTTTGAACAAGCAGTTGTTGTTGCTCATCGAGCGGGTTCGTGATGATAGTCTCATCGGACCCAGACGTTGCATACTGCGCTGGTGGCGCGCTCGCACCTCCACGTTCAGCGAACGGAATTGGGGTGTTCGAAAGTTGTGCATCAGGCATCAGTGAGTCGGACGTTGTCCCTGTATCACCGCGGACACTGGTATCGCTACCATAGTCCACCTCCTCCTCTATCCCGAGGTAGTCACATAGAGCCTATAACTCGTTTGGTGATGAGGACATCGTGCTGGAGCGTGCTTTACCGTGAGGTTCACCGTATGCGCACTGTTCTCGCTGAGAACACAAGTTTGATTGACGTTTTGGCAAACGTCAGTCTGGTGGGGGAGGGTGCAACGGGGTTGCACGAAATTATGGTACGTTGTACCAGAGGTGTTACACACCTGAGGTTACCCCTCTGTGAAGGTGATGTAGAATATCTTATTGGTTTGTAGGGGCTGACGAGTGTCAGCCATTAGGTACGAAAGATCTTTGAGTAGGATTAAGATATTCTATAGGCTTTAACAAAAATAAAATAAGTTCCCATTTTGATCTGAAGGACACGTGGCTTGCGAGCCGTCTTGATCGTTGATCACTGATCACTAAGAGCTAGCGACACCTCCTTGAGGTAGCTACTCTTGAGCACTGAGTGCTGTCGATTCACTGAATCGTTAGGTCCCCCTGGAACAGTGATCTGAAGCTGAAAAGCTTGTTGACTCGTAAAGTCGTTAGTCGTATAGAACTAAGTTTCTCGTAGAGCGTTAAGTCTTCCTCTGACTTTAGGAGCTGTGTAGCTCCGCTACAACCTTCCTCTCTCTCTCTTGCTAAGGCTCAGCATAGCTAACGCGCTCTGTCCCTCCCCCCTATCTTCCTCTCTCTGTCTCTGTCGCTCTCTCTTGTGTCCATTTGTCCATCAAGTTTCGTCACGTGGAGAGCACGCGACTCGCCCCTGCGTCCCGAGGCTTGACGCACTTGCCCGTGTCTCTTCCAAGTGCCAGTTCTGAACGTCCCGCTCATGCTGCGACGTCCGCTCACTTTGCATTTGTTCAGTCGGAAGATGCTCATGGCGGCTTAATTCATGTGGAAGCTCTGAGTGGGATTGACGCAGCTGAGAAAGAGAGTCAGGAGTCTTCAGAGACACGGCCGCTGTCGTGCGCGCACACAAGACGGGACACGTGACGACAGATGTGGCTTTCTCGCGTTTTCGTGAAGACCTGTTGCTCTCTGCTGGCGGTGCTGTGGCGACGGTGAAGATCCGGCGAGTGGGGTCACCGGGTGAGAGGATGGAGAGCTTGTGACGCCTGTGACGGTGTTTTCTCATGAAACAGCGGGCAGTGTAGTGGGTATTATGCCGCATCCGACGGCTGAGTCGTTGTAGGCCACGTACTCGAGACGAGGAGTGCTGATACTGTATGATGTGCATACTTCGACGATGAGCTTGGAGAGAGCAGTGGGACAAGGCGCTTCGTTGACGTCTGCGGACTGGACTTGGGATGGGCGAGCTGTGATAGCGGCAAATCAGGACCAGGATTGTGGACCCGCGTGAGCATATGACGTCGAAGTGCCAAAGGCACATTCAGGTACACGACCCGTGGGTGTGGATAGGTGTGGACGGACGCAGCATTTTGTTACGTGTGGAAGCGATACGCTGATGCAGGACCGAGAGCTCAAGTTGTGGGACCCTCGACGCATGGCCAAGTGCTTGCATCGAGAAAGAGTTTATGCAGGAGGTGGTGGCCAGCTGTTTCCGCTCTACGATCCTATAATGGACATCTTGTTTGCGCTTGGCAAGAGAAGTTGCAGTGCCAGAATTTTTGAGGCAGACGTAATGCGCGCACCTTGTGTGCATGCACTAAACTGCAGCACATCGAGCGACTCGACACTTTCAGCGGCGCTTTTACCCAAGTTAATATGTGAATTGAATGTGTGTGAAGTTGCACGCGTGTTAAATTTCAGTACGAGCGGAACGAGTGGTGGCATGAGTTGCAAAGTCATCAGCTACCAAGTTCCTCGCAACGAGGCGACGTATACGTTCCAAAGCGACTTTTACCCCGACACGTTGTCAAAAGAAGCTGCAGTAACGTCCGAGGAGTGGCTACGGGGACAAAATGCTTATCCAAGGCTGGAGACCGTGACACCAACGGTAAAGGGTACCGATGATGTGGTTGAAAATGTGTTTGGACGCCTTTATTTCCGTATATTTCCCCTTTTTGGATGCTTGTGCGACTCCCAGGGCTTGGACTGTGCGACCGCCGCAACGGCGACACGTGGCGCGGGGTACACCTTTATTCCGTATCCTCCCCCTTCGTTGCTGCTTGCGCGACCCGTCGGTCCACTGCCTTCACAACTGATACCACGAGTGCAGCTTGCTCAAGGCAGATCCCAGGTCGCTTCGACTCTCCTATGGGGAGGTTTCCGTTGAAAGTGTCTGCCCCTAAAGGGAAGGAAGACTGGATTGAGCTGAACCGTGAAAATTTGGGAATGAAATTCGTGAGTCTTAATTGAAGTGGACGCCTCGCCCATCGACGAAGGCCACACATGGACATCCACGCAAATCTCGACATCGAACAACGCATCTTCGTATCGAGCGCTCAGAAGAGGATGCAAGGTTGTTGCCTCACAAATCTTCTACACACACATGCTCTCCTGAAATTCAAGCGTTTCCTCCGTCGCCAGCACATCGTCTTCCAGCTGTGAAGCTGCTGCTAGAGTCACGGGCTCCATCTCTGCAGCCAGTCCTTTGAGAACTTTCACACGACTTTGAAGCACTGACTCCTCTAGTGACAGTGATGAATGCTCCATTCCAGATAGCTCACGGTAGTCACGTATTCAGCATGAGCACCCTGTTGCTCTTCGATTGCATCCAGAAGAAGAGCTATTTGTTCCTCGCGATCGATCATCTCCTGCATAGCTCTCAGTTCATCTTGACGCTTCAATGAGTCAGAAGACACACAATCTTTCAGCGACTTCACGTCATTTGCCAACGCATTCGCGCTGACATCCAAGCCATTAGTGAGCTGTTTTTCCACTTGTGCTTGCAGCTGGCACCAACCAGTTCGAGCAACCATCACTTCCATCGCATACGACTTCTGGATAGCTTCCCGACTTGTATCGATTAGAACGTCGGAGCTAAAAACTGCTGGAACCTCAACGTCATGCAGTGATGACGGCTCTTCAGCCACGGCTCCGGACCACGATGATACGTCCCGAGTATGGAGGTCAACCTCGTCCGAGCATGTGTCATACGCGCATGCAAGCTCCGCATTCTTGGACACCTGATCGTTGAATGACGCACCTTTCTCTTCAAAGAAAGCAACGCACACCTCCACCAGCGCATCTTCTTCGTTCAAAGCGATAAAGAAAAATAACTCTCTCATTGCTGCTACGTGCGCGGCCGTGTCGGCAGCTCCGGTGGTGGTTCTGTTGCTGAGGCGGGGAGCAGATCCGATGATTAAAAGCGGGACGAGTTTTCGATCATTGCTCACGTGCTGACGGCCCAGGATGGAGATGATCCCGAAGATTGTGCAATTTCTGATTAAAAACGGAAGCGATACGAATACTATGATGGAGCAGGCAGTACGGTCTTGCATATTGCAGTGTCTTAAGGACTTTGAAAAGTCGCAGCAGCGCTTGTGAAAGAGCATGCGGGCACGGCGATTCGTCACAGTAAAGGTTTGATGATTCGCAACAATAGAGGTGTGACGATTCGTATCAATAAAGGTGTGATGGTGCTGGACATTTTGTTCCTGCCTCATCTAGCGTAGTTGGCCATGTTTATAATGTACCCGCCCGAATTATTTTCCGTATAGAACGCAACGCTCGTGTATGGTGTGCTCACGCAAGTTTGGCCTACTTGTGCGACGTCACCATTGCCAATTGTGTGGACGTATTTGTTGCGGCCCTTGTACCAAATACATGCGAAACCTCCCGTTTACGGGCACGCCGGTAAGCAGAAAAGGAATTGACGACATGATTCGATGAAAGTTTACAGTAAGTGAATTGCTGAGCGGGACGCTGCACACGAAGACTTTTCGTGGGCAAGCAGTACGTCAGATCGGCTAATGGTGAGCGACGGTGTGATGAATATTCATGACTATTAGTCCGCGGAGAAATGTAGCGCAGCCACACAGCTCTTTAAGTCAAAGGATGATTACTTAATGGTATTATGGGTTACGGCTGACAGCCTATTAGTTCTACGGAGCTAATACATTAAGTTAAATAGTCACCCAGTTCTTCGGAACTCGGGTGGACTCTACGAGCTAACAGATCAGCTACTGTAGCTCTAAAGAATTACGCGCACATTGTGCGAAAGGGGAATACCGGAGTCTAAAGACTCTCTAACCCACGACAGTTCTAAGGAACTGTCAAACGCAAGGTACGAAAGGAGGGGGATGTTGTGTCAGTGCGAAGGCTGAAGACTGGAAACTGGAGAGGAAGACGGAAAATCGGAAAGTGAGATTAATCAAAGTTATCGTTGTGCTAAAGTTTGATCCTATGAATCTTTACTCTTACACTAGCAACTAGATGGCACTGCAGGAGCTGGTATGGCCAGCGGTCGAGGTTGAGGATACGGGATCTGGAGTTCCAGATAAGTTCAACGCCACCTGATATACGTTCAGCAACATGGAATGCTGGGTCATTAAATCTGGAAGGCTGGGTCATCTAGAACTCAAACAGACAGTCCACGCTTCAGAACGAACGCCCTAGCGTCAACACGGGACCAAGCAACTGGATAGACACTGACATCGAAAAGATGTCAGAGGCAAACAGGAATACTGAAAGTAGATTAATGACGCTGATTGCGTCATTAGATTCTTCGCGGGTTAATTGAGCCGCGTCCGCCGCGAATATTAATCTTTGATGCGAGCGCACAGACCGGTGAGAAGCTGCTTCCAGTGCGTTACGTGCCGTATGTCATTTTCCCACTGCCAACTCGCTTGATCTGATAGGAGATCTGACCACTTGACGAGACATTGGTTATTTATACTACCTTTCGTGTAGCTTCAAGACTCTCGATCACCCACATTCGATGGCTGTGCTCATCGTACAGCACTTCGATGGTTTTGTACAGCGGTCGGCCGACAAGGTGACTAGGAGAACCCGATAGGAACATGAGCTGGTCGACGTTGAATACATTTTCAATCTTGCTCATACGTGGTGGTAGCTGATCTTGTACGTGACTGGACTCAGCTGTTGCAACCTCTTGAAAGGACCGACATACTTGGGAAGAAGCTTGTTCGTAGGCTCTGATTCTTGAACATGCTTCTTGGACAGCGGTAACGCATTGACCAGGACCCAATCGTAAGCTTAGAATTCCACTTTGCGGCGACTTTGATCGTAATAGCGCTTCTGTCGTTCTTGAGCTTGACGTAGGTTCTGCTTGGCTTCTTCAACGATGCGTGCTCTGCGCTCCCAAAACGATTTAGCTTTCGAGCTTGCAGGTACAATTTCACCGACTACACTGGGATGACGAGCCTTTCGACCGGTGTCGACCTCAAAAGGAGAAAACCCGGTGCTCATGGCTACGCATGCGGCGTGAGCATACTCAACGAATGGTAGTACATCGTACCAGTTCGCTCCATGGTGGCTTATCATGCACCGCAAGCTCTCTTCAAGTGTGCGAATCTGCCTTTCGCTTTTTCCGTCAGCCTGGGCACGGTGTGTAATGGTCATAGACACCTTAACTCCAAGGAGGCACATCAGCTCGGACCAAAAATCTGAAGTGAATCCGGGGTCGCGGTCGGATATGATGACACTTGGAATACCATACTGTTTAAAGCAATGCACGAACATCAACTTCGCAAATTCCTTGGCATCGACATTCTTGTGGGTTGGAATGTAACATGGACACTTGCTTAACTTGCGCACTACAACCTGAATCGCATCGTATCTTCTCGAGATGGGGAGAAGAGTTCCAAAATCAGTTGTAATGACTTCCCAGCAGCTCGTTGACACCGGAATGGGTTGCATGAGACCTTGAGCTCTGCTTCCGGGCTTGTTTCACAGACACTGTTCACATGACCGAACATATCTTCGACATCCTTCCTCATTCCATGCTAGAAGTACCATTGACGAACCATCAAATAAGTTCGCTTTACGCCTGGATGGGCTACGATATTTGCATCAAGGAAGTCGTGAGATTTGCGAAGAAGAATGGATTTGGACGACGCTGGAACGCATACAGGTGTCACCTGGTCCTTTGTTTTCAGGTAAATTAACCCGTTCTTCAAACAAAAGTGGTCGAGGACTTCACCGCGCTGAAAGGTCTTTAGGACTGGTTTCAAATGCTGGTCCCGCGCGGAGCGAACTTACTATCTGCTGACACCATCGATATCGCGTTGATAATGCGTTCACCATTGCGGAAACGCTCGTCATCGCAAACATTTCCTTGAGACGAATAAAGCTGTTGCCCATTATTCAACGCGATGTCCCTCGTGTTTAGAGCCGTGACTGGAGGACGAGACAGGGCATCAGCCATGACATTTTGGTTTTCAGGACGATGAAGAACCTCGAACTGATACTCGGAGTAAATGTCCAGCCAACGCAGCAGCTTGGGCGAGAGCTTCTTAGATGGTGATAGTAGCCACTTGCAAGCCAGATTGTCCGTGTAAATCTTAAACGTTCGACCGACCAAATACACACGCCACTTTTCCACAGACTGGCGAATAGCAATGAGCTCTTGCTCGAATGCAGGCCATTTATTCTCAGTCTGATTCAGTTTTAGTGAGAAAACGCGACAGACATCTCCCGAACTTGAATCTACTGTGAGAGAACGCCACCAATGCAGAATCCAGAGGTATCTGAGGCGACTAAGAACTCCTTGTTGAAGTCAGGCAGTTGTAGAACAGGATCACGTGTGATTTCAGCTTTGATGTCAAAGAAGGCACGTTCGGCGGCTTGGCTCCAGAACCAGGTTACTGACTCTTCTAGATTGTCGCTCAGAGGTAGCAGCCGGCGGGCGAAGTCTTGAATAAATCTACGATAATAGCTCACCAGCTTAGTAAAGCGTTGCACGTCCTTCTTGTTTTGCGGAGTAGGCCACGAGACGATGACTTCCACCTTTCAGGGGTCTACTTCGAGTCCGTTAGCGCTCACGACATGTCCCAAGAGCTCGATGCGGTCTTGCACGAACGAGCACTTCTCCTTGCGTACTTGAAGTTTTCACGTTTCAGCACTTGTAGCACTACGCACAAGTGCGTACAATGCATTTCCATTCCGACGGTGAAGACGCAAATATTATCCAGGTAGACGCCAGCAAAGTCTTGAAACTCAGGCTTCGCAAAGATCATACGCATCAGTCTTGACCTTAAGCCTAGCATGCCAGCCAGACCCATTGGTGCAACCAGCCACTCGTACATTTCTATGTGCGTTCTAAACCCCGTGTACTTGCGAGAACACTCTTTTATACCCATCTGATAATATCCTGACGTTAAATCGATTGTGGAGAAGACCTTGGCGCCATTCATTTTGTCAAAAATGTCATCGATCTCGGAAGTGGGATCTTGGGCACCTCGGTCTGCGCATTAATCTGCCGATAATCGTTCACCCAACGCACCAATGCGTTCAATTCCCAAAGCGAATCCAGTCAGCCCGCGACTCGAGCTTTCCCGTGATGGGGTCTTTCTTCGGAACTGCAAAGATATTGGATACCCACTCCGACGAGCTGAATTATGTCCATTTTTTCGCAAGTAGGTCGTTCACGAACTTACTTAGGGCCACTTTCTCCACTGGAGCCATTCGAAACGGAAGTCGGCTTGTAGGAAGAGCGCCTAACTTTAAAATAACCGCATGCTCCACATCACGCACTGGTGGCAGTCCTATAGGCAATGATGCAGGAATCAGGTCTGCAAATTTGTGAATAAGCTGCTTTACTCCTGGTGGCAGCATTATTACCTTCGGACGCGTCACTTTGACGCGACACAACTCGGCATAGACTTGTTGTGCCTCCTTGTCGGTCAGATCATCGGCCAGGTTGGCATGAGGTGCCTGCTGTCGGTACGTTATTATCTGCTCTGTCCAGTCAATAATCGGGTTCACGTTCTACAGCCATAGTTGCTCTAGAATTTTGTCGTACGCGGACGACGTCTTCCCTTTCGTGAACGCGACATCGTTAAAGTGAAGTACATCTATTTGTTCTCTGGTCTTCAATTCCCTTGATCGGGCTGTAACTTTTTTTCCATTAAAGCTGGTCACATGCACTGTGACCGGATTGCGCTGTCCATCGTGTACCTTGGGCTTGATCACATTGTGAGTAGCACCACAGTCTAAAAGGAGGCGACACTTCTTGCCAGTGACAAACGCTTCCTTGATTAGTAGTGGCTTGGTTGCTTCTGATTTTCTGGGCGAGAAGACAATTTCGGCTGAACACGGACTCGGACCTGATAGTGAGGCCAGAACTATTCTGGTATCCCAGAAGTGACTGGTTTGTCACTACTCAGCACGACAGATGAGACTGACATATTGTCGATTGCTGGATGATCATCATAGTCCACCACCACCGTGCTCACCGAGCGAGAAGGCGCTCGTCTAATCGAACGTTGTCTTTTCTCCGGACAATTGAATTCCGTGCCCCTTTTCCTTTCAGTATAAGCACAGATTTTAGTCCTGCAATGCTCTGTCGTCACTTAACGAGATCCCGTGCTGCTAATGTCCATTGGAACTGGAGCAGATTCTTCTTGCCTCTGTACGATGCCTCGCATAAATGGATGCGGGGTTCTGTTGCGACTGGAATTGGACATGGATCGGTCAAAGTGAGTGCGTTCGCATGCTTGCGCGTGAGCGATCGCTTCACTGAGCGTGGAATAGCGCAGATAGGTCACTTCTTTGCGCGTTTCCGACTTAAGATCATCACAGAAACGGTCAATTTGGTCTAACTGACTAATGTCGCGGACTTGCATGATCAATTATCGGAAGCGTGATACATACTCTTCAATATACCCTGTCTGGTGACACTTCTTGAGAGCGGCGCGAACACGAAACAGCTGGTCAGGTAATACAAACTCGGATATGAGGGCGTCGCGCGCTCTTCCAAGGTGTAAATTTGCTTGCCGTCCACAGATATACCTGTATGGTACCACGAGGCAGCAGCGCCCTTCAGGTTGGACGCCATCATGGCCACGACCCGCTGATGGTTTTGAGGCTGATGGTAATTTAAATTCTTGCCATGCATGAACAACTTGGCACGAAAAATAAACTCTTCTACGCTCTCGTTTGGTAGGCCGCTGTACACAGGCATCGAGATACCTTTGGTCCTCACTTTACGGATCCAGAGCTGGCTCTGTTGCGCGTTTATCGCATCTTGTGCGTCCCGCGCCGCAATGCTGGCAGCAAGCGCATTAAACCCGTTGCTCAGGTCAGATGGAATTCCACCGTCGATCAAATAGACTTGAGAGCCACCGTCAGGTGGTTGAGACGACGGATACGACATCGACAATATCAAATGAGCGTAATCCCCAGGCTGGATGCTGAATCGAAGGACCAGGGGCACGTCTCGCAACTCTTGATGCCCACGAGACTAAACGGAGATGGACCAAAACCGACCAACAACTGCTCCCAAATGTGTCGGTGCGAAGGCTGAAGACTGGAAACTGGAGAGGAAGACGGAAAATCGGAAAGTGAGATTAATCAAAGTTATCGTTGTGCTAAAGTTTGATCCTATGAATCTTTACTCTTACACTAACAACTAGACAGCACTGAAGGAGTTGGTACGGCCAGCGGTCGAGGTTGAGGATACGGGATCTGGAGTTCCAGATAAGTTCAACGCCACCTGATATACGTTCAGCAACATGGAAGGCTGGGTTATCAAACCTGGAAGGCTGGGTCATCTAGAACTCAAACAAACAGTCCACGCTTCGAAAAGAACGCCCTCGCGTCATCACGGGACCAAGCAACTGGATAGACACTGACATCGAAAAGATGTCAGAGACATACAGGAATACTGAAAGTAGATCAATGACGCTGATTGCGTCATTACAGGGGAAATCTAGGGACTTCTGCTCAAAACGAGAACTGAACTTTATTTAGATTTTTATGTTGGGAAAAATCCTACTTAATGTACCCTATTTTGTAATATAGTAGAACTCATACAAACACTAGTATTCGAACTAAATGGGTGGTTGCCACATCACTCAGTCATCAAATGATGACTGTACAAAGTACGTATACGGTAAGTACCGTAAACCTGGGAACATCGATAAATTGATAATCTCTTGCTGATATAAAATCTAAGGTCACACACGTTCATCCATTTTATTTATGGGAGGTTTTTAGCCAATTTAGCCAAAGGCTAGTGTGACCCCGTTACACCCTTCCCCACCAGACTGACTTTACAACAAACGTCACTCGATTCATTCTCCCATTGAGACTTGTTACACAGTAACGCACTCACATGGACCGACCTGGGCACCTCCTGGAAGATGAGGCTCTCGATAAATTTCTTGGTGTCGAGGACGTGGACTTTGACAGCGGTAGTGATACCAAAGTCGAGAAAGAGGAGCAATTTAAACTCAGCACACCTGTGCGTGGGGACATTTCCCAATCGGCACCAAATCCGAACGTTGTGCCGCGACCTCGCCGACTGATCTGGGAGCAATGTCCCCCATGGATACATCCATTGTCACTAACCCGTTTGACGAGGAGCAACAATGCATGATCGATCACACGGCAAGCGCACGGCGCAAGTCAGTAGTTCAGCCAACGTTGCAACGACACAGGGAATATACGTTCACTCCACCTGGCGTGCTGAACTAATTCGTCAAGCGTCACGCCATACCTTGGCAGTATGGTCCACCGGCCCCGAGGCGAAAATGCCACTGAACTCGAATGCCACAAGGCTGTTCGAGAGAGGTACTTGTAACCTGCTGTGATGACTTTGAGTCAATACAGAGAACGGCTGCAATAGCAGGCTCAAGAAACTCCGGTTCTGCAAATAAATGGTATACCCATCATTATGTCCGAAGATGGGGAAGGAACTGCGGAGGAAAATATGTTCATCCGCTGGGTTCATGGCTTTCGATGCCTCAGTAGTATGCACGCGCTACGCGAAAGTGCCAGTGTGTCAGACGTTCGTCTAGATCGAAAGCTTCGCTATGACTTCGCGAAGTTAAAGGCCAGAGGCCGTCTGTGGGGAGTATTACGCTCCCGCTATGCTCCGGCTGCTTCTGCAGCCGCGAGCTGACATCAATCTTTTGACACGAACTCGACCGCTCTCACTACGACGATAGAGAAGCGTGACGCTCGTCAATACAAGCTCGGCCGTGGCGCTCAAAAACGTCAACGGCGTATGGGTAGTCTTGCCGTAAGAGAATCTCATGCTCCCATGCGTTTTCAGACTCAGGGTACCCACGCCACTTCACCAGATACTAATAGTGACCATGACGACGACGTCGTTAAGGCACCTGCTGTACATGGAACTGTAAGTTCCCTTGCTTATCAAGCAACGCCGGTGGCAGTCGGAGTGTCGGCTGAAAGCCATGCTGAGTTGGTGAAGAAAGTGAAGGATCTCCGTGAGACTTCAGGTCAGACGCAGAACGACCTGGGCGAAGCCCGATCTCGTCTGGCGACGTTGGAATGCGATCGCGCCCGTCTTCAGATGATAAGGTCACGTCAGACTCGTGTCGAGGCGCAACTTGACCTCTTAATTCGGATGCTACATCCTGTGGCAACGCCAATGTACGCGGCGCAAGCGCCTTCAAGTCAACATGGGACGGGTCCCGGTATGGCTTAAGCAGGCCCACGTAAAAGACGGGATGCGTACGTAATTTGCGCGGCGAGTTGAGCGTATACGCAAGGTCCTTTTTGGCCACACCCGTAAAAGGTCCAATGAAGCGCGGACGCAACTTCGTTTTCAAAACAGCTGACACTACATTTGTAAAGAGGTTGTCAGCGTTTAGCAAGACTTGGTATCCGACCTTATAACTTTCAATGCAATTTCTGTCTTTGGCATCTGCTTGTTCCTTTTGTTTATCTAGGCTATCATCCACTGCATCTCGCACATGTCGTAAGACATTCAATCTTGGTGCAAGGAGCTCACCGACCTGTTTCTGAACAGTGGTAGGGCTGACATCAGCAAGCCGATTGGCGATTCCTCCCCCACCAAGCCCGGAACCACGGAGAGGTATCGTCGATGGGACGCGTGGATGGGTGAGTCCGTTAACGTAGAACGGGGTGTAGCCAGTCGAGGCATGGACCAATTGGTTATGACAAATTCGACCACCGGAAGCATAGCGCTTCAACTCCGAGGCGTATCTGTGCAAACGATGCGCAAAATGTCACCTATGACACAATTAAAGCGTTCAATTTGACCATTGGTCTGCGCATGATCCGCGGTGGACATGTCCAATCTGGTGCCGCGCACCTTAAAGATGGACTTCCAAAATTTCCCCGTAAAGCGAGGATCACGATCTGAAACAATTGCCATAGGAAAACCATGTTGACGAAACACGCGATCGATAAACAGCTGTGCTGTACGTTCACCATAAATCGAAGCCGTCACAGCCGCTAAGTGAGTCATCTTACTCAAACGGTCGACAAAGACCACAATACCAGTGTTGCCGTCCAAATCTGTTGGCAAACCAAACACGAAGTCCATACTGATGGATTCCCAACCCGTGGGTATAGGCAAACTCGCCAAAGGCGCAGCCGCATAAGCCGAGGGTTTGATCCGTTGACACGTTTCACACGTACGCACATATGTGCTCACCCATCTATATAATTTGGGCCATAAAAAGTGTTGGCTGACCGAGCCATAGGTCTTCTATCGACCAAGATGAACGCTCAAAACTGTATCATGCGCCTCAAAGATGATGCGATACTTCAACTCCTCATCATTAGGTATGACTATGCGCAGAGTATCCGCCGCATCCGTGCTATAGAACAAGAGGCCATGATCGAAAGAATGTCTTTGTAGCCCTGCAAACGAGCATGCCGACAATTTAATGTCCGAGTCTTTAAACTCATCACAACCGAGTGCGCGCAACAACGCGAAACACTGATCATCCTTGGCATAAGCTGCACGGATTATATCTGATATAGAAGACGACAGAGTCGTAATAGGAGCAAGCTCATAATCCGGCCTGCGTGATAACGCATCAGCCAAAGCATTTTGCTTCCCTGGTTTATACTTCACCTCGAAGTTACACTCAGCGAAGAATGAAAGCCAACGGGACATACATTGCGAGAGATAAAGCGACTGGGTCGCAGTGCGCAACGGCGCATGATCCGTGTAGATTACAAACGGCTTGGAGCCAAGTAGATGTACTCTAAACTTGACAAGAGTATACTTTATTTCAAGTAACTCTTTGTCGTGAACTGGGTAGTTATTTTCAGCAGCTTTTAGATGGCGAGACTCATACGCAATGTCGCTCTCATTTCCATCAACATCAGATTGCAGCAATGCACTGTAATGGCAAAATCAGATGCTTCAAAGGCGACAGTGAAAGGTCGCTCCGGGCCAGACAAAGCCAAAATTGAAGCATGAAGGAGACTCTCTTCAACAGATTAAAAAGCTTGTGCCTGGACCGAGTCCCAACACCAAATCCCTTCCTTTCTAAGGAGGTTGTTTAACGGCCTTGCCATATCAGCATAGTTTGCACAATACTTGTGTAAATTGGCTAAACCAAGCCATTTACGCAATTGCTTGGTTTAGCCAATTATTTACACAAGTCTTTTGGATTAGACGGAACTGGCCAATCCACAATGGGTTTTACCCTAGCGGAATCTGCCTGTAGGCCGCGCTTTCTAATGAAGCACCCTCGGAAAGAAATTTCTTCAGCACCAAAAATGCGTTTAGATGCATTTGCATTTAACTTTTGGTGTGCATGCACCCGGGCACTGCTTGTAAATGGTCAGTGTGATTTTCCACATCTGATCTTCCTTGTTATGCACGGCTATGGACAAAAATTTAATCGAATAGCTATGTTCATATCCTCTATGAGGGCGGAACAACTGCGTCACGAGACTATTATAGGTTGCAGGGGCATTAGAAAATCCCTGAGGCATAACAAGCCACTCTTAAAGCATGCCACTCGGCGTGCTAACCGCTGTGAGCGGGATGTCACTCGCTCACATGAGCCGTTGGCAATAACCATCGACTAAGTCGATCGCGCTAAACATGGCGCAACCCACCATAGCGTTCTGAAGAACATCCTTTCCAGGAAAAAATGTCTGCGCAGGTATAGTGGCCGCATTGAGCTTATTGCAAGCGTGAACAATACGCCACTTACCATCGGGCTTTCTGACACAACATGTCTGTGTCGAGTGTGGAGATTTCTCTCCCACACCATGCCTGCCGCGTGCTTTGCACGAAAGAACTCGTAAATGACGTCACACTGCTCCTTAGGCAATGGCCATTGACGTGTAACGCAATATTTGGTCCCAGGGACCAGGTCAATTTCATGACGCACACCTCTGTCGGGAGGTAGAGTGAAT